GTCGTGACGTCGTGTCATTCTACCGAATTACATTGCCGTGCCGTGCCGTGGCGTGGCAATATTCGACCGTACTATGTAGGTCGACGTGTCATTCGACCGTATTTCGCCGTGGCCTTGGCGCGCGCGCACGCGCGCGCGCGGGGTTCAAGATCCGTTATGCTTAGTATAAGTTATTTATCATGCATGCATGATCAATTTATAAATGTTGGCACGTATTAGGTACACTATATTTGTATTCATACAATTAGTTTTTAATAGACAGTTATATAGACTGGCGCGCGCGCGCGTACAGCGCGCGCGCGCAATGGCTAATTGTTGATGTACTTAAAAGCAAATAACGTTGTGTATATTTATAAATATATATATATATGTCATTGCAAGCCTTAATACCTGCAATGGCACGCGCGCGCGCGGGGCGCGCGCGCGCCGCCAATTACTAATTAGTATTCTAATTCGAATGTAATTATATCTATATAATTATACTGAAATATGTATATATATATATATGGCGCACACGTCGGCGCGCGCGCGCGGAAACGCGCGCGCGCGCCAGCGATGCAGTAAATGGAATTATATTGTTATACATTTAGCTTTACACATATTGAATACATATATGGATTGTGGCATATATCCGCGCGCGCGCACGCGCGCGCGCACGCGCGCGCGCATGCGGATATATTCCACAATCCATATATGTATTCAATATATATGTGTAAAGCTATAAGTATATAACAATATAGTTAATTCAATTTACTGCATGGCTGGCGCGCGCGCGCGTTCCCGCGCGCGCGCGCGCGCCGACGTGTGCGCCAGATATATATAATATACATATATTTCAACATATACATATATATAATATTACATTCGAATTAAAATACTAATTAGTGATTGGCAGCGCGTGCGCCGCGCGCGCGCGCCAACATTTGCAAATAAATTATGAAATAGAATTAAATTTTGGTATACATATATTTAATTTGAATACCACTGTGCGCGCGCGCGTGCGCGCGCGCGTGCGCGCGCGCGTGTGCGTCCCAGTGCATGGTAATTACGCGTATACAGCATTAAGTGTAGAAATATGTAGTGTGTGCATATATGTGCATAATGTATTTGATATACAAATTCGAATCTTAAACCCAGAGCGCGCGCGCACACGAGCGCGCGCGCGCGAATCCCCGCGCGCGCGCGCGCGCACATATCCCCACGCGCGCGCGCGCAAGCGCGTTCCCGCGCGCGCGCGCCGACGTGTGCGCCAGATATATATAATACACATATTTGAACATATATATATATATAATAGTACATTCGAATTAAAATACTAATTAGCAATTGGCAGCACGCGCGCGCCGCGCGCGCGTGCCAACATTTGCAAATAAATGATGAAATAGAATTAAATTTTTGTATACATATATTTAATTTGAAATTGAATACTTATATACGTCTATAGTGCCAGTGTGCGAGCGCGTGCGCGCGCGCGTCCCAGTGCATATTTACGCGTATAGCATTCAGTGTAGAAATATGTAGCGTGTGCATATATGTGCATAATGTATTTGATATACAAATTCGAATCTTAAACCCAGAGCGCGCGCGCACGCGCGCGCGCAAATCGCGCGCGCGCGCATGCAAATCCCCACACGCGCGCGCGCGCGCAACCGCGCGCGCGCGCGCAAGCGCAAGCGCGTGCGCGCGCCATTGCGCGCGCGCGGCGTGCGTGCCAGGATCGATACTATAGTTTTAGTACATAGTTATATATATATATATATGTATATATATATATATATATATATACATACATATGCACATGCTGCACCACAACTACTATCGCGTGCGCTTTCCCTGCGTGCGTGCACGTGTATACGTGCTCGTTGCATGGACTGTGCGCACAGGATACAACACGAATACCACAGTTGATGGCGGATGCGTGCCGCTTGATGTATAGCTGCACTCCTTCGAGTCGATGGAAGGCAGAAGTATATCGGCTGCAACACGGACGCAAGTGCAAGTTGTATACGCTTTACTGGAAGCGCAGGTGCTTTCGAGTCTCGAATTGTATGCGCGAAGCACCGTTTCTATCGCTAATTAACAGCACTACAGCGTTTTTTCACCACCCGAACCGAACGGCACGCGGCCGGATGACACGCGGCACGCGGCCGGATGACGGCACGCGGCCGGATGGACACGTGGCCGCTGCCACGTGGCCGGTTAGCCCGTCCTGGAAGGATCCCCATGGCTCCCAAACGTGCCCCGTTGGTTCCGACCGAGAGTGCCCTCGAGCACGCCAGTGCTGAGCCTAAGTGCCCGGTTCAGCCGCCTGCAAGACCCTTCGGTCGCCTTTACGCGGGAAGAAGTGCAAACCATGCCTTTAGACCAGCTCGGCGAGACCAAGATCCTCTTCGGCAAGGCGATGAAAGGACGCACTTTCTCGGACGTCTACACGAACGAGCACGCATGGGTTCGCTGGATCCTTGACCACATGTCAACGAGCACCAAGATGGAGCATGTGGCCTTCATCACCTACGTGCGCCGCTCAGTGGAAGAGGCAGAGCAGACGGAAGCTGTTTTGCTTCAACCCACGGGTTCCGGAGGGACGCCAGGCGCTTCCGCCAAAGCGGCCCCGAAGAGCCAGTGCCATCCCTCTCTCGAGGGCGTAGCATGGGAAACATCCTGGGATGTGGTGCACGAGCAAGATCCCCCCGATTCCGCACTGCAAGAGCAAGTGACCTTGCTGGGCGAACGCCTGTCGCAGATGGAGGGCCTGATGCACCAGATGATTCAGCATCTCAGCCAGAGCTCACCGCCTGCCTAGGTGACGTGTGGGATTGCCAACGGGAGTTAGAGGTTCTAGTCGCACAAAGCAGGGTGATAATTCAAGAGCTCGAGCCAAAGGCAAAGGAGTTACTTGAGCAGGAAGCTTCCCTATCCCAACTAAAGAACTTCCTTAAAACAATTCCCTGGCATCTCCTGTCACCAGCGAGCTCGCATGAGCGGAGCTGCCTCGAAGAGGGGTCGCATGCCACCATAGGAGATTCTAAGGAGCCTGCCTATGTAATGTTCGGGATGTTTGTGCATGGGGGAGTTACGGGATTGACCCGAGTAACGAAAGCTTATCCCTTCATCACCCGAGTGATCACCCGTGTTGGGCAGCTAACAAATCCACAGCATGAGTTCACGACTGTGGGGATCAGCGTTAACAAGCTCCTCCAGCCCCACAAGGACAGTTTCAATTCACGAGAAACCCCAAATTTGATCATTCCACTTGATTATCCAACTTCAGGGGGAGAAGTGTGGGTGGCCAGACCACCTCGTGCGCACCAAGTGCCGTTGGATCGGCAGTGTGGCAGTGCAATGCAGTCTGGATCCTTGCAAGCCTTGAAGCCTGGACTGCTTCTAGACCCTCATGTCTGGCATGCCAGCCAGCCCTGGTGTGGTAATAGATCCCTGATGGTAGCCTTTTTCCTTAAGCCCCTAGAGAAATTGCCGGTTTCTGAACGTAAGTGGCTAAGGGATAATGGGTTTGTCCTCCCGGCGACGGATGCAGTCCGGCAAAACGCCGAAATGTGTAAGCTCTCTGATGCGAGCCTGGCCGTGTATACGCCGACCCATCCTCCAACAGATCCCGCCCTAACTCCACTTAGACAGGAGCTGGATGTTGCAAAGCACTTGCTACAGCCCTCGCCCGTTTCGCCTGCTGTCTCAGCAACCGCGCATGCTTGCGCCGAGGCTTTTGCAAAGGCCGAGAAGGCTGCTTGGGATGTCTTTCAAGACTCTCAGTTAGCATATAACAGACCGGTGGGCGAGCAGCTCGATGTCTTAGAAGTCTATGCGTCTGATGACAGTCGGTTGACTCAGTCGGTTTCCGATAATGGGGGTCGAGCTCTAAGGTTCACTATACGCGACGGGGATCTAAGTACGGTAGAGGGTCAGCGTAGATTGTGGGACATACTTCAGGAAACGCAGCCCAAGCATGTCTGGATGCGTCCCAGCGGTCGTGCTTGGGGCTCGTGGAGCAATTTCAATGCTGCCCGCGGAGCCCAGCAGGCATCTCGAATCCAGCAAGCCCGGAGCGAAGACACTGTCCATTTGCAATTGTGCGCCCAGATCTTTCATTGGCAAACCAGTCGCGGCCGGCATTTTCACTTAGAGCAGCCCGCACAATCGAAGATGCTTGAGAGTCCCGCCTTTAAGCCCATCCTGTCAGGGTCTAGGAAAGTACTGGTAGATATGTGTGCTTTTGGCCTTAAAACGCCTGTCTCCAACATTGCCATTAGGAAACGCACTTGCATTCTGAGTACTTGATACGGAGTCTTATTCAGAAGCAATGTCCGGGCCACTCCCAACACCAAGCCATTGCGGGTAAGCCACGTCAGCTGAATGGTTTATCGCTAGCCCAGTATGCTGGATCGTATTGCCAAGGGTTCTCTGATTATGTAGCACAACAGCTGCTGCGCGATCCTCCGGGGTCCATGCCTGCCTCCGCGCCAGTCACGGACATGAGTTTGGCCGCGGATGAAATAGTGCCCCTAACCCGTAAGCGCCAAAAGACCTCCACTAATCAATCGGTTCCCCTTAGTCGGTTTGGAGCCCGGAAGCGTAACAGTAGTCCGTTATCCGAAGGAAGGTTACGAGGCCAAGCTCAGCCTCGTGTATCCGACACTGATGCTGCTTCTGTCGAGAGTGTTGTGTCTGAGGTAGCCTGGAAGCCGATATTTGAGATGGTTTCGAAGCTTGTCACGAAAGCCTCCCCCACATTAATCCCACCACAAAGCGATATAATGAAGGCCCTAATACAACAGATGCCCGCATATCATGTTATGCAAGGCTTCGCAGGCTGTGGAGGTCGACAATTACATTGGCCCCTAGGCGCCCTACCTAGTACGGTTGCACCTTGGCGAATTAGCATATGTCAAAGAGCAGGACCTAACGGCCAATCCGAGTTTGTCAGCCGAGAGCCTGAGCTACGAAGCTCAATTGCGAGTGCTCAGAGACGAGGCCGGGTGAAATCCATGGATTACCTCATCACGGTTCTAGCTATCAAGAAGCAGGACACAGCCCCACTCGTCTCTGAGAATGCGTCCTCTGGTGCCGCCTCCTACACCGATCCACGGTCCCGCATTTAGAAATCTCGATAAAGAATCGAAGATGCTGTTGATTAGAGTTCATAAGAGCCTAGGTCACCCGGCCCCGCAAGTCCTCGCCCAACATCTTCAGGCTGCAGGGTATGACAAAGCTCTTGTTGACGGTGCTCTCGAGTATCAATGCGACACTTGTCTTGGGTCAACGAAGCCCTTGCACCAAAGACCCAGTAAGCTCCCTGAACCACGAGAGTTTAATGAGCTTCTTGGAATAGATGGATTCTTTTTCAAAAGCCAATCGGGATACCGTGCATATGCAGTTCATGCCTTAGATGAAGCTAGTTGTTTCCATCAGGGTCGTCGAACTCAATCAAGGCATGCATCTGAAGCTATGCAAACCTTAAATGATTGCTGGTTCTCCTGGGCTGGAAATCCTTGTAAGGTTTACCTTGATCCGGCAGGAGAGTTTCGCTCAGATCAGATCCTAGAGCTGTTTCAGGGAGTTAACATAAAGACTTTCGTCACAGCAGCGGCATGGCAACGCGGTCGTATTGAGCGTCATGGGGATATCCTTAAGGAAATGCTAGCCCGTCTTGACAAAGATTCGCCCATCATCAATGATGCCGCCTTTGACAAAGCCCTGCTGCAGGTCTGTCAGGCCAAGAATGCACTAGTGCGTCACCGCGGGTACTCTCCCGAACAAATTGTCTTAGGTAAAGCTGTGCAGGTCCCCGGAAGCCTTACATCCGATGAAGACCTTGCCTCCCACACTCTAGCCTTAGGAGAAGAGTTAGAATCCGAAATGCATCGACAAAGGCTAGAGCTAAGGTGCGCAGCTAGGAAAGCATTCTTTGACGCCGACAATTCGCAAGCCATCCGACGAGCTGTTCTCCGCCGGAGTGTCCCCGTCCGGGGTCCCTATGCCGCGGGGTCCTGGGTTCTCTACTGGACTAAAAAGAGTTCGCCCAACAGGTTAGCAGCAGGTAGGTGGCACGGACCGGCAAAGGTGATCTGTCAGGAAGGGCAGTCCATTGTTTGGGTTGCACACGGCACCACGATCCTACGATGTGCGCCGGAAAACCTCCGCCAAGAGACTCCGATGCCATCTGAAGTTCCGGCCCCCTCTAGCGTAGATGTCTCCTTAATTCCTGTGCCCGACTCAGAGGACGGACTATGCTCTGAGTCAATTCTGTTGGCATCCGAGACTGTGCTTGAGCCTGAACCAGAGATGCCGGAGCTTCTGTCGTTTACCACCTTAGAGGCTGCCGAGTTTGCCGAAGGACCACCGCTTGCCGAGGACAATCTTCCTTACGTGCATGATCCTCTTGAGTGTTCAGAGCAACAAGCCTTTTGCCTGGAAATTCCCCTAAAGCCTCGAGACCTTAAGCAGTGGGCCCAGGAATCATCGCCTGAACAATTAGCCACTTTAGCTGCGGTGGGAAAGCGAGCTCGTGCTGAGGTCCGTGTAAAGGATCTAAGCCGGGAAGAGGTGGCCCTGTTTGACCAAGCCAAGCAGAAGGAGCTTCAGTGCTGGATTCAGACTTCAGCCATAAAACCAATCCTGCGTCGTAAACTCAACCCGTCCCAAATCTTGAAATCCAGATGGATCCTTACCTGGAAAGCTCCAGAGCCAGGGGAAGATAAGAAACGAGCCAAGGCCCGCTTGGTAGTTTTAGGGTTTCAGGATCCCAAACTTGTTGAAGTAATGCGTGATGCGCCAACCCTTTCCCGTGAAGGTAGAGCAACCGTGCTGCAAACAATTGCATCTTGCAAGTTTCCTTTGAGCTCCTTCGACATTAAGACTGCTTTCCTCCGTGGGAAAGCTGACGAAGGAAACCCGTTGGCGATGGAGCCTCCTCCCGAGCTCAGAAAACTGTTGAACCTCCATGAAGATGAAGTGTGCCAGCTTGTGGGGAACGCATACGGCAGAGTGGATGCACCACTCCTGTTCTACAAAGAGCTATGCAAGCAGTTAGGTAAGCTGGGTTTTGAGCCACATCCCCTGGAGCCGTGCGTGTTTGTCTTGAAGACTGGAAGTCGCCTACGGGGAATCCTCGGAGTCCATGTCGATGATGGAGTGTGCGGAGGAGATGCTTATTTTCATCAAAAGGTTGAGGAGTTGCAGCGGGTTCTCCCTTTCGGGTCACGTAAGCATCAGAACGTTGTCTTCACGGGAATACAACTTGAACAGTTTCCGGATCACTCTATCCGTGCATCTCAGTCCGACTATGTGCATCGGATTCCGTCCATAGACATTGGCCGTCCTCGGCGTCAAGACCTCGACGCCCCTGTAAATGAGGATGAGCGAACTAAACTCCGTGGACTTATCGGAAGTCTTCAGTACGCCGTGACTCATACCCGCCCCGATGTTGCGGCACGCTTAGGTGAGGTCCAATGCCAGACGACCACTGCTACCGTCCAAACCTTGCTCCTTGCCAACAAGGTGCTAAGGGAAGCTCAAGAACATCACCGAGTAAGCATTGTCTTTCAAGCTATTCCAGTGGAACAACTAACCTTCGTAGCTTTTGGAGACGCTTCCTTTGCATCGTCCAAGAACTTGATCTCCCATCAGGGCGTTTTGATCTGCGCAACAGATGGCCGCTTGAATCAAAACCGTGAAGCACCCGTATCCCCTTTGACCTGGTCATCGAAAAAGATTCCAAGGGTTGTTCGGTCCACATTGTCAGCAGAAGCCTATGCCATGTCCAAGGCAGTGGATCTCCTTGGATGCGTTCGGGTGTTGTGGGGTGTTATCCACATAACCGATTTCAAGTGGCAACAGCCTGAGTTGGGATTTAAGCAGCTTCATACGGCAGTCATCGTCACCGATTGTAAAAGCCTGTATGACCTTGTTACCCGTCTTGCCATGCCCGCTTGTGAAGAGTACCGGACCACCCTAGAAGTACTTCTCATAAAACAAAGATGCTTAGAAAATGCTTGTTTCCGATGAGTACCTACTACGCTCCAGGCAGCAGACTGCCTCACGAAAGCCATGGACTCTAATCTCCTGCGAGCTGTCCTCGCCCGAGGACACTTTAAGCTGTATGACTCCTCTCAGACACTTGAGAAGGATGCCCAACGTAAGAAAGCAATCGAATGGTTACAAACACCATCTTCTTCTTGATCATAAGGATAGGTAGCATCCCACCTTGATTGAGTCTTCGGACAAGACTCCTATAACAAGTCCTGAGCTGGAAGAGACTCAGTGCTGTGCCCGAGTCTTCGGACAAGACTCCCTGCAGAGTCCCATCGTAGTCGGATGCACTTGATCGAAAAAGAACGGTCAGTGTGAAATCTTCCGTAGTTAGTGTCGATCATGTACATCCGACGTTTCCTCGTGGCCTGGAGGGCTCGAGGTCCTGAGGTGGGAGGGTCTGGGATCGCTCTGGGAGCGCATGGACCTGTGAGCTGGGAAAACGAAGGTGAGGCCATCTTCAACGGCAACTGCACTGACAGGGCTCAGCTGCTTCAGATTCTGGGATTCGGTCTTCGGGGTTTCTTGTTTGAGCTGATCGGGGATCAGGCGCTGCCAGTGGGAATTCTCATTGAATTCACAAGGGGTTAAGGGTTTGGGGTTTAGTGGCTTAGGGGGTTTCGGGTTTAGGGGTTTAGGGGCTTCGGGTTTAGGGGTTTAGGGGTTAATGGTTTAATGGTTAATGGTCCGGGCTTTAGGGTTTAGGGGTTAAGGGTTTGGGGTTTAGTGGCTTAGGGGGTTTCGGGTTTAGGGGTTTAGGGGCTTCGGGTTTAGGGGTTTCGGGTTTAGGGGTTAATGGTTTAATGGTTAATGGTCCGGGCTTTAGGGTTTAGGAGTTAAGGGTTTGGGGTTTAGTGGCTTAGGGGGCTTCGGGTTTAGGGGTTTAGGGGTTTCGGGTTTTGGGTGCTAATGGTTTAGGGTCTAATGCTTCGGGCTTTAGGGTTTAGGGGTTCAGGGTTTGGGGTTTAGTGGTTTAAACCTTAAACCCTCAATCCTAAACGGAAACCTCAGCCCCTAAACCCAGAACCCGGTACCCCTAAACCTTTCAGCCCCTAACCTGAGAACCCAAGACCACAACTTTAAAGACCTTTTACCTAGACCCCCTGTCCCCTAAACCCATAAACCCCTTAACCCGAAACCCCGAAGCCCCTAAACCCGAAACCCCTAAACCCCTAAACCCGAAACCCCCTACCAGCACTCACCACTCACCACCCACCACCCACCACCACACCTGCCACCATCCCCACCACCACACAAGCCACCATCCCCACTACCCGCCACCCACCACCACCATCCACCACCCCCATCCGCCATCCACCACCCACCACCACCCACCACCAATGCGCCGATTTTCCCTTCCGGGCCTCTACCAAAGCAGATTCGTACAAAAAAGTACGAATTCGTACTTTGAAAATTCGTACAAAAGTACAAAAAAGTACGAAAGATTCTAAACCCTTTTAAAAAGGATTCGTACAAACGAATTTCAAAAATACGAATTCGTACTTTTTTGTACGAATTTTCGGCTGCTGGCGGCTTGCCTGGCAGCCGTCCAGCAGCCGAAATTTGGCGCTGGACACAACCGGGCCCTCCCCACCACCCCAACATCCCAGCAGGCACAACCCCACCAACCCCCCACCACCCACCAGCTAGCCCCCCACCAGCCCCCCACACCACCACCACCCCCGACCACCACCACCACCACCACCACCACCGCCACCACCAACCACCAAGCCACCACACACCCCCACACCCCATCGCTGCCATCACCACCCCCCACCACCACCACCACCACCACCACGACCACCACCACCACCACCACCACCAAGCCAGCACCCACCACCGAGCCAGCACCCACCCGAGCCAGCACCCACCACCCACCACCCACCACCCACCACCCAGCACCCACCACCCAGCACCCACCACCCAGCACCCACCACCCCCCACCACACCAGCATCATCCACCATCCACCAACTGAGCATCATGCACACAAATCATTCACCCACTCCATCCACCCACCACCCACCACCCATCTCCCAACAACAGCCAGCAGCCCACCACCATCGCCAGCTTCACCACCACCACCACCATCATCACCACCATCACTACATCATCACCATGCACTACCATTACCACCACCACCACCATCACCACCAACACCACCAACACCCACACCCTAAAACCCCAAAGCCCCAAAACTAACACCTGAACCCTATAATCTCTAAAAGCAAACCCCCTGAACCCTGATCGCTTGGAGGGGCATTGTGCCGTCAGCTGATCAGCATGTTGACCGTGCTGAGATTTTGGCTGCTGCTGTTGCATGTTCCGCGTTCCGGCGGGCCAGTATATATTCTGACTCCAAGTATGTAGTTCAGGTGGCTCGTGCCATCCTTCAACAGCTACGGCAGGGTTCAAATCCCCAGCTGCCTCAAACGAACTTGGATTGCTGGCTGTTTTTCTTGAATGCTGTTCGCGGTGCTGATTTGCAGAATTTGGATATCGTAAAGGTCAAAGCTCATCAGGATTGGAAGCAACTTCAGGGATTTGAGCGGTGTCTCGTGTGGTACAACGGGATAGCTGATATGGTTGCAAAGTCTACGGCTCGTCAGTTTAGTCAAGTTCTTCCAGGCTACTCCCAGCTGGTACAAAGTTTCTTTCAGTTGCAACAGAATGCTGAAGTAATTATGCGTTACCATGCTGACATTGCGTGGTGCGCAACTCATGTTTCCAAGCCCGAAGTCAGCGTTTCTGCGTCTGTCCCACTCAATGCTTCAAGTTTTCAGGGTGATGGTGAAGAGTATTGGAAACCTCCTTCTGTTCAAGTAGACGAATGCGAAGATTCTCCCCATCCGAAGTTCATGGCGACACTTAGTCAATGGTTACTGCCATTGCGTTGGTTTCCTTCAACCGGAAACGGTACTTTTCAGGATACGTCTTGGCTTGAATTGATGTGGTTCTTTGTTTGGAGCACGAACTGCAGTGTCCCGGTTCTGGTTGAATCAAAGTATGTTACCAGAGGTGAAACGACCGACTTTGTGCTTGTGGAACCTACGACTGTGCAGCTGTTGAAAACTTTTAGGTACTTTATTTCCTGTATTGAGGCGCGATTTCAAAGCGCATTTGTTCCACATGTCAAAGTCAAAACCACCGCTTCGACCGCAAAGTTGAGCTGGTCGCAGCGCACACCCGGTTTGACAAGCAGGCCATGTCATGAGTCCTTTTGTTTCCACGCGGCTTTTGTCGACCTCCGTAGGCAATTATCCACGAAGACATCGGTAAAGAGGCCAAACTTGTCATTCCGACCTGACTTGTGAGATATTAATTCATTGTTAATTCGTCGTGAGTAATTCGTTTCTTTGATGTCGGCTCGTTAATTTGGTGCTTGGTTTCGTTGAAGCGTTGTCTCGGACTGATACTGTACAAACGGCATAGAGGCCCGCATCGCTAGCCTCGTTGCCCGTGGACCGACCTACCACACAAGTCCGGATGAACCCTGATCGCTATGCTAAAACCTTGATACCCTAGGCCGAAACCCTAATTCCATTTAAAACCACAAATCCTAAACCATCTAAAAAAATAGGCTAAAACTTTTTATAGTTTTTGAAACACTAAATCTGTGCATGTGTTTGCATGATGTACCAGGCTCGAGAAGCCCAGAAACAAAAAAACACCTGCACAGCTTGAGTTAAAGCACTTTGGTCCGGTAGGCTGAACAAGCCAAGTTTAAACTAGCTAACAACCTTAGGATGCCGAGGCCTCTGGTCGGAGCTCCGTTTTGATATAAGGTAGCGACAGCATCATCATGCACAGCTAGCAAATAGCTTAAGCTTTAGGATCTAGGGCGATGGCCCCCAGGAAAAGGCCCGCTTCGGTGAAGACGGAGCCCTTGACACCGCCGAAGAAGCCGAAGCCTGCAAAGGCAAACCCTCCGGCCAAGGCCTCGCCGGGAGAGCCAAGCTCTCCCGGCCCGAACGCCTCCACAGCCTGCAAAGGCAACACCTGCACCACCGCCTGCCAAGGCAGGGCAGCCTGCAAAGGCAAAGGCCAAGGCCCACCCGCCTCCTTCCATGGAGGCTTGGAAGGACCTTCGCTACCAGCTGGGCAGCCTGAAGAAGGCAGGAAAGGCGACTACCCGCACCTGGAAACTGGACAAAGGCCGCAAGAAGCCAGTGCTGAAAGTCAAGCGCACGCAGATCCCGCTGACCCCGGCCTTTGCAATGACGGCCCACGTCAGTCAAGGCAAGACGCTGCCGCTCGGCCGCACACAGACAGGATCCGCCACTCACAGATCCAAACCACACACACACACACACACATGACAGTAGGCGACCGTCGTGACGCCCGCCGCACAGGACGGCCGTGATGCTGGACCTGAACGTGGATTCCAAAACCCACGCCGCCTACGGCACGGTGGTGGCGAGCCGCGTGCGCGACAGATCCGACGTGCTGATCCTGCGGCCGTTCCCACTCTGGCTCTTCCGGCGCGGCGCCACGGAGGGTCCCACGTTGCTCCTGAAAAAGCTCCGAGGCGAAGAGATCGACTGGAAGGCCATGCACGAAGCACGCTGGCCGAGGGCCCGGTGCCAGACATGCAAGGAGCTAAAGAGCTGGGACCTCTTCACGCACGCAGAGTGGGAGCTGCAACGGGCCAACCGCGGCGGCCAATGCATGCCGTGCCAAAAGCTTGGAGCCGTCAACAGCAAAGGCCCCCTAAAACGAAGCATCAACGCACAGAAAGCCCTGGCCCGGAGCCTCCCGTGCAACCGCTGCCAGTTGATCAAAGTGGAAGAGGCGTTTCCAAGAGCGCAACTAGCCCAGGCAAACGCAGACACGAAGCGCCAGTGCTCAGCATGCCGGCTCGCCGCGACCCAGCTGAACTGCACCAGCTGCAAGAAACGGAAGCCAGCCACAGACTTCAGCCTCCAGATGCGAACCATGCCGGACGACGCCCTCGCCTGCATCGACTGTCAGGAAAAGCTCTCCAACAAAGCCAAGCGCCTGCGCACGGGCTGGTTCATCTGCAGGGGCTGCAAAGAAAGCTTCCCCCAGAAAGCAGCCGCAGAACAGTCCGTCGACGGACGGAAGGCACTGCCTGAACTGTTCCAGGCGCACAAACAGGCAGACGGGATGGATGACATGCACAGCGAGAAACTGCCGAGAGAAGTTCCAAGGCACGGAGAGGGGCTGTGCCCGAAATGCAGACCCCGCGAACGCCCCGCGCGGCGCAGCAAGACCAGCAAAGACTGAGCGGAAGCCGCCTCTCTAGGTGAGGCAGCCATGCCGGTTTCACGCCCCGTCCAGCACGGCCGCGCGCCCGGCGCAGAGAGGAAAAAAGGGCCGATCAGAGACGCGCACATGCAATGAAGCGCAGTCACAGGCACGGTATACCTGACATGCACAGGTCTCCTGCAAAGGGTGAGCTGGAGAGACGCTCCGTCAGCCGCCCCCTGCCCCCCCCCCCCCCCCCCCCCCCCCCCCCCCCCCCCCCCCCCCCACCCCCCACTCACGGCGGTCCGTCCCGACCAGAGCAACTGTGACTGTGAAGGCACGACTCGCAAAGCAAGGCCGTCTGGCTCAAGCACACACCCATGCAAGCTGCTCCGCACCCACTGCTGCAACGCACGAGCCGTCAGTCATCGCAGAAACAAAGCAACAGAAGCCGAGGTAGGAGAAGGCCCCACACGGCGCGCCCGGGACCCTCGCAAAGCTGTACCAGCAAAGGCACTGCAGTGGAAAAGCACGAAGCCGAACAGAGAGCCACAGCAAAAGCATCAGAGGATAGAACCCACCACACAGAAAGGGGCAGCAGCAAGTAAAGGAGTGGCCGCCAAGCGCCATGGCACCGCGGACAAGCAGCCGCGGCGCCAAACGCGCCGCAAGGCCCAAGGGGCAGCGGCTCGAGCAACGCCGCCAACTGGAACAGCGATACTCAACCGTGCTGGCAAACCAGCCCGCCGCACAGATTCTGTTGCCGAACCCACACGACAGGAGCACAAGCGCGGCCCACTGGCGACTCGAGATTTGGCGAGCAACACGCCTGCTGGACCTGCTCCAAGAGCCCGACCACGCCCGGCTACAAGAAGCCCTCAACACGGCATATGCCGACAGCTTCCAGGACGAAGACGGGTACCTGAGACAAGACATGCCCAAGACTGCGTCGCCGGAACTGGACAGCACCGCATGGGTCGAGGCCTTCCTCGAGCGGCTCCACGCGATGGTCGTAATAACTCGGATGAAGGACAAGATCGAGCAGCTCAGCACGCCGGAAAGCCAAGATCACCCATGGGAGGCGCGCGTACAACATCGCCAGACAGCGCTCCATCGCTTGTTCCAGGCACATGCCACGCCAGTCCACCTTCACGACCCATTCCAACGCCTCTTACCCCCACCCGAAGACGAGTCCATCAGCAAGCGCGCCTGGGAGGACAGGCTGTTCGCCGTTCGACAGCTACTCCGACGCGTGCCTCAGGGAGACCGCATTGGATCGCACAGTTTCGTGCTGCACCACTTCGACACAGTGCTACGACGGGATCCCAGGCTGCACAAGGCGCTACCGCAACCAGAGACCGCCACAGACACGAGGATGGATGCATGGCAACACGCCTTCCTCAGCGCAGTGGAGGACATTATCACAGCCAACCAAAGTGCGGCTCAAGAGAACCCAAATCGACGGGGAGCACACGCAAGCAACGTCCCACGTGCCGACCCCGCCATCGGCCATGCCACAGCCCCAAAGAGCTAGCTCGCGGCCGGCAACATCAGGCGCGCCAACTGACAGTGAGGCACAGACAGAGGCAAACCCTCGCAGACGGAGAGCTGACCGACACGGGCAGGAAGGGCTTCACCCGGCCACACTCTGGTCGTGGAGTGCTAGCACGCTAGGGAAGAAGCACCTTCCCGGACAGCCGACCGGTCGGCTCCTGAGACACCGACGCGAGGAGGCTCAAAAAGGAGCAGAACAGCAGGGTACTGGAGTTGTGAAACTTGAGGAATGTCAGGAGGAGACGCTAGCCGAACACCGCTATAGGATAGCAGCGCACCCCCGAGCAGGAAAGCGATAGGTCGCCGCGCATCAAGACAGTAGGATCCAAAGCCAGCATGACAGCACGGAGTCCTTGAGGTAAGTGACGACACAGCAGGACGCCGGGATACTAGGGCACTAGAGTACCAGGGCAGCGTAGGCGAGGACCCATGCAGAACGAGGCATCCGAGTACTGCACTGGCCCCACAGGATGAAGCCCAGAGCATCCGAGTATTGCCGTAGCCATGCACAACGAAGAGAATCCGAGTACTGCAATGACCACACAGAACCAAGCCCAGAGCATCCGAATACTGCACTGGCCACACAGAACCAAGCCCAGAGCATCCGAGTACTGCACTGACCACACAGAATGAAGCCCAGAGCATCCCAGTACTGCAGTGGCCACACAGAATGAAGCCCAGAGCGTCCGAGTATTGCACTGCCCACACAGAAAGAAGCCCAGGGCATCCAAGTATTGCACTGGCCACACAGGATGAAGCCAAGAGCATCCGAATACTGCCCTGGCCATGCAGAACGAAGAGCATCCGAGTACTGCACTGGCCACACAGAACCAAGAATAGAGCATCCGAGTCCTGCACTGGCCACACAGAACCAAGCCCAGAGCATCCGAGTACTGCACTGGCCACACAGAACCACGCTAAGAGCATCCGAGTACTGCACTGGCCACACAGAATGAAGCCCGGACCACCCGAGTACTGCACTAGCCACACAGAACGAAGCCCGGAGCATCCGAGTACTGCACTGGCCACACAAACCAAGCCCAGCACATCCGAGTACTGCACCGCCCATGCACAACGAAGGGCATCCGAATACAGCCCAGAGTATCCGAGTACTGCACTGGACACACAGAATGAAGCCCAGAGCATCCGAGTACTGCACTGGACACACAGAATGAAGCCCAGATCATCCGAGTACTGCACCCGCCACACAGGATGAAGCCCAGAGCATCCGAGTACTGCACTGGCCACACAGAACCAGCCCAGAGCATCCGAGTACTGCACTGGCCACACAGAATGAAGCCCAGAGCATCCGAGTACTGCACTGGTCAAACAAAATGGAGCCCAGGGCATCCAAGTATTGAACCGGCCACGCACAATGAAGTGCATCCGAGTACAGCCCAGAGTATCCGAGTACTGCACTGGACACACAGAATGGAGCCCAGATCATCCGAGTACTGCACTGGCCACACAGAATGAAGCCCAGGGCATCCGAGTACTGCACCGGCCACACAGAATGAAGCCCAGAGCATCCGAGTACTGCACTGGCCACGCAGAACCAAGCCCAGAGCATCCGAGTACTGCACTGGCCAAGCACAACGAAGAGCATCCGAGTACTGCACTGGACACACAGAACCAAGCCCAGGGCATCCGAGTACTGCCGTGGCCATGCACAGCGAAGAGCATCCGAGTACTGCACTGGCCACACAGAACCAAGCCCAGAGCATCCGAGTACTGCACTGGCTACACAGAACGAAGCCCAGGGCATCCGAGAACTGCACTGGCCACACAAAATGAAGCCCAGAGCATCCGAGTACTGCACTGGCCACACAGAATGAAGCCCAGACCATCCGAATACTGCACTGGCCACGCAGAATGAAGCCCAGACCATCCGAGTACTGCACCGGCGACGCAGAATGAAGCCCAGACCATCCGAGTACTGCACTGGCCACACTTATGATGCTCGTGCTTGCTATCGGAAGACATTCCCCAAAATCCCAATAATGAAGGATTAATGAAGGTCAGGAATAAGGGATGTCATCCTACTCCAGAGCAACAATGAGGGCGAAATCACAGGGATGTCATCCTACCCCCCAGAAACATTGAGGGCGAAATCAGGGTACATTTCATCTTCACAGCATGTCTTCTTTCGTTGAAAAAGGGTGGACGTGCGTGTATGGTCGTCCGTGTCTCTGTGGAATCATGGCTGCAGTTACTGTATATAGTTTCCTAACCCACCGACTGTCCGCTATTTCGAGAGGGGACTTCCTGCGCTGATACTGCCCGGCCACTCCACTTTGCGTATTCCTGTTAAACCAGTTGAAACACTGCCCTGATTTTGCCCTCATCGGAAAAATGGAGGCAAATGGCTGCCCTGATTCTGCCCTGACCCGAAAATGGAGGCAAATGGCTGCCCTGATTTTGCCCTGATTCCTGACCCTGATTTTGCCTCCATTTTCCCTAGGAAAATGAGGGAATAATGAGGGCAGAATCAGGGCAGAATCAGGGCAGGCCCGTTCCAGGAATGAGGGCAGAATCAGGGCAGCGATTCCGTGCCCCGTTGGGAATCAGGGAAAAATGAGGGCAGCCGCCGTACTCGTAGTCAGGGCAACATGAGGTCCGCTGTTTCCAGGCTTTGTGTCATGTAGAATCTCAGGCGGTTCGTGCTGTGGCAAGTTCATCTGAATTCATAATAGTGGTCCTCAGTTACGTTCATGTCCACGGACGGGCGTTATTGCCACTCCTACTTCTAGCAAAACTCAGCTCTTGTGATTTGCAGGGGTCATGGTTGAGCGTACGCAAACACACGGCTCCTGAAAGTCCTGCGTTCAAACTGCTGTCGTGCACTCGACGTCCGAGCGAATCGAAGTGAAAAATGCAGGCGCCAATGCCCTCATTTGTCAGCCCTGATTCTGCCAGGGTCTGCCCTGATTCTGGTATATTTGGGATAGCATGAAATGATCCTTATAAGGCCACACAGAATGAAGCCCAGACCATCCGAGTACTGCACTGACCACACAAAATGAAGCCCAGGGCATCCGAGTACTGCACTGGCCACACAGGGTGAAGCTCGGAGCATCCGAGTACTGCCCTCGCCATGCACAACGAATAGCATCCGAGTAGTGCACTGGCCACACAGAACTAAGCCAAGAGCATCCGAGTACTGCACTGGCCACACACAACCAAGCTCAGAGCATCCGAGTACTGCACTGGCCACACAGAATTAAGCCCAGGGCATCCGAGTACAGCACTGGCCACACAGAATGAAGCCCAGAGAATCCGAGTATTGCACTGGCCACACAGAATGAAGCCCAGAGCATCCGAGTACTGCACTGGCCACGCAGAATGAAGCCCAGACCATCCGAGTACTGCACCGGCGACGCAGCATGAAGCCCAGAGCATCCGAGCACTGCACTGGCCACACAGAATTAAGCCCAGAGCATCCGAGTACTCCACCGGCCACACAGAGCCAAGCGCAGAGCATCCGAGTACTTCACTGGCCACGCAGAACCAAGCCCAGGGCATCCGAGTACTGCACTGGCCACACAGAATGAAGCCCAGGGCATCCGAGTACTGCACTGACTACAGAGAACAAAGCCCAGAGCATCCGAGTACTGCACTGGCCACACAGAATGAAGCCCAGGGCATTCGAGTACTGCACCGGCCATGCACAACGAAGAGCATCCGAGTACAGCCTAGAGCATCCGAGTACTGCACTGGACACACAGAATGACGCCCAAAGCATCCGAATACTGCACTGGCCACACAGAATGCAGCCCAGAGCATCCGAGTACTGCGCTGGCCACACAAATGAAGACACAGAATGAAGCCCGGAGCATCCGAGTACTGCACTGGCCGCACAGAACCAAGCTCAGAGCATCCGAGTACTGCACTGGCCACACAGAACCAAGCCCAGCACATCCAAGTGCTGCACTAGCCACACAGAATAAAGCCCAGAGCATCCGAGTACTGCACTGGCCACACAGAATGAAGCCCAGAGCATCCGAATATTGCACTGGACACGCAGAATGAAGCCCAGAGCATGCGAGTACTGCACTGGCCACACAGAACCAAGCCCAGGGCATCCGAGTACTGCACTGGCCACACAGAACCAAGCCCAGAGCATCCGAGTACTGCACTGACCACACAAAATGAAGCCCAGAGCATCCGAGTACTGCAGTGGCCACACAGAATGAAGCCCAGAGCGTCCGAGTATTGCACTGCCCACACAGAATGAAGCCCAGGAAATCCGAGTATTGCACTGGCCACACAGGATGAAGCCAAGAGCATCCGAGTACTGCCCTGGCCATGCACAACGAAGAGCATCCGAGTACTGCACTGGCCACACAGAACCAAGAATAGAGCATCCGAGTACTGCACTGGCCACACAGAACCAAGCCCAGAGCATCCGAGTACTGCACTGGCCACACAGAACCAAGCTAAGAGCATCCGAGTACTGCACTGGCCACGCAGAATGAAGCCCGGACCACCGGAGTACTGCACTAGCCACACAGAACGAAGCCCGGAGCATCCGACTACTGCACTGGCCACACAAACCAAGCCCAGGGCATCCGAGAACTGCCCTGGACATGCACATCCGAGTGCTGCACTAGCCACACAGAATAAAGCCCAGAGCATCCGAGTACTGCACTGGCCCCACAGAACCAAGCCCAGAGCATCCGAGTACTGCACTGGCCACACAGAATGATGCCCAGAGCATCCGAGTACTGCACTGGCCACACAGAACCAGCCCCAGAGCATCCGAATACTGCGCCGGCCACACAGAACGAAGCCCAGAGCATCCGAGTACTGCACTGGCCACACAGAATGAAGCCCAAAGCATCCGAATACTGCACTGGCCACACAGAATGAAGCCCAGAGCATCCGAGTACTGCGCTGGCCACACAGAACCAAGCCCAGAGCATCCGAGTACTGCACTGGCCCCACGAACCAAGCCCAGAGCATCCGAGTACTGCACTGGCC